CTGTGGTTATATTATTCTTAAACATACCGGATCATGTGTTCCTCTAGTATACAGAAAATTCTGGATGTCTGGAAAACCTGTTTGTTTACATTCCATTAAAGTGAATGATGTAGGAGTGCTTTGCTGACACAACGACAACTACTTCTCCGCTGTAAGGCATTGTAGGTGTATTAGTGGCAGCTGTTATAAACAGTTCCTCAAAAATGAAACATCATTATGTGGTGTTTGAATTTATACTGCAAAGAACCAAATCCTTAATGGCGATCTTAGAGGCAAACTTGTTAAAAAATTTCTAAAGAAGACTACCCTTACTGATACATTTGCCTTGGTGTGCTGAATGCTTTTTTAGATTTCCTTTAGCATGCTGGTTTTAGTTAAAATCCTGCCTGTTTATATGTTGCATAATGATTAAAAGTGTTGTACTTAATTTTATTGGGATGTGAGAATAGAAACAAATCTTCTATATTTCCCCTTATTATAAAAATGTAGAATTGGATTAGCATCCTTCACACAAACTTGTCCCTTTGGTTATGCTGAGGGGAATTAATTCCCCAGTGTTCAGTGGGCTGTTGATAAGCTGTAACTAACTGACTGGACATAGCCAAGAATACCGCATACCTGCTTCTGAATGACTATGGGGTGCTCAAAAACGATTTCACACTTCAAATGTGTGCAGCAGTAGCACTAAAGGTAGGACTCCTTGGTTCTGGCATGATCAAGTATAATAGAGATGAACCTTATGGTTAACAGAAATACCATGATTCTGGTTTAGGAACACTTTGTTATTAGTGGTCCTTAAATAGGGTTTCAAGAGCATACAATTAAATTGTACAAAAAGTAGGAGTGATATATCCTGTTCAGATGAGTGAGCTGTTTGCCTCACTTGGTACTCTGATCTAAGCTTACTGTGAGTGAGTTTGGCAAGTCCAGGAGTCAAACAATGGATTTTTCAGTCACATGCACCCTCAGACAATTCCCATGTTAAAATTCAAAATGTACAAAAAAGTACTGCTCTGCTCCCAGTATTCCAAATTAATTTTCCTACATTTCTTAGAGCTACCTAGGGATATGCTTGTGCCTCAGTTCCCCTTATAAAACGAATTATTTGATTACCAGTTATGCATGTGTGTGTGTACATCTATATATCTAATTCTCAACAGTCCCCTATGTGTGGATACCAAAATCTGCAGATAGGGGGCATACTTACCCCCAAACAAGTTTTTCTGCAAACTTGAGTTGACCCCCTAGGTTTGCAGAAAAATCTGAAAACTTTAAAAAAAATACATTGGGGGTTTAAATTCCCCCCAAAATAAACGTTGTTGTCTGTGCATGCACAGACAACACATTGAGGGCCTGGTGGCTGCTGCTCCCATGCACCTCATCCGGACCAAGCTGCGGGGGCAGGAAGTGCTGGGAGCTCCTCTGGGCCTGGTTGTACCAGCAGGGAATGCCAGGAGACGCTCCAGGCTCAGCCGCAGCAGCAGGAAACACTGGAGCTCTGGGCCTGGCTGCGGTGATAGGGAACGTTCGGCTGTGGCAGTGCAGCACTCCAGCAGAGATGCCGGGCTGAACCACAACATCGGGGAACACCGGGAGAGACTCTGGGCCTGGCCACAGCAGACACCAGGAGTTGCTCCAGACCTGGCCACCGCCAAGAGCTGCTCCAGGTTTGGAGAAGCTCCCAGGCACTGTCGCTGCTGCTGGGCTCAAAGGTAAGGAAAAAGAAGGAGAGAGAAAGAAGGGGGGATTGGCTTAGGGAGAAACAGAAAGGGGAAGATGGGCCAGAGGGAAGGAAGCAAAAGTGGAGGAATGCTCTCTCCCCGCAAGTTTCTTGTGGGTCCCCACTTGTGTGTGTGTGTATATATATAATTTTTAATAAGTGATTATGAACACAGGTGCAGATTTAAATACAACTATTAAAAGTAGATTTTTTTTAATTGTCAGGAAATCATCACCTGAAATTCAAAATATAAAAGTAATGTAATTCCAAATCTGGTAAACATCCCATCTTGCTTGGAAGTGGTTATTGCTGCTGGAAAAAGTAATCTAGTGTGTGACAGATGGGATTCTGTAAATAAAACCTACATACTCATCTAGTAACTTCTCAAGTCTCCTAAAATGGAGTCTGGACAGCATCAAACAGGCAGGATTATCACAGTTTTGAATAAAAAAGTATGCATGTAAATGTATGTTTCACTAACTTATATTATATATCTGGTAAATATTCCATCTTGACATTTAACTCAGACCTGAATTTTCTAGTAGTCTGAACTAGTGCTGTTAGCCCTGAGCATTTAACCAAGTCAATTAAATCCTTTAATGCTGTTGAGCCTATTGAATACTTTGCAAAAACCTATGTCTCTTGCTCGGTGTTTAGGTGAGAGAGAGCCATTTTTATTATACAGTCAACTCAACCTGAGCATCTTCTAGACTTGCTTTCATGAGATGTAAAAAGCATGAGCTGAGGAAAGTGATAAGACATGAAATGGCTAGGTACCTTCATTAATTTCTGATTTCATCTATTGGGTGGAGGATATATTATATGAAAAAGCAAAGTATTCAAATGGAGTGTTGGATATCATGTATTGAATCCAGCACAGCCTGGAAACAGCAGAGAAGGGTTTAACATGACATTCCTGTATTTCATTGAATTATGCGCTTGTAAAACTCCCATGTGCTGTGCTTCATAGTCTACAAGTTCATTCTTGCTGTACAGCCTTGCTGCTTGTAAAGTGTCCTCTGCCTCCTTCCATCCGTTCCCTCATTTGTGACTAGTTTACTAACTGTGCCTCCCATCCCATTCCCTGACAATCCAGGCCCTATGATGGTGGTGACTGCCAACGTGGTGGAAGTGCGTGGAACAGGTGGTCCCCGTCCTCAGCCCACTCAGTGGATGCATACTACAATGGCTTTGTCCGTGAACGCAATGTGAAGAATGCAGAAATGTATACAGTGGGTTCTGGTGTCCAAACCCCCATGACAGACCTGTAGGACTTTTTTTTTTCTTTAGAAAGCCTTCACTATCCTCTGGGTAACACTGTGGAACATTAACACACTCGAAGGACATGGGAATGGACATTGTCTAAGAAACGAACTCATATGGTGAAATGCCTGAATGTGAAGTAATTACTTGCAGATATTAATCTTTGAACACAGATCTTTTGCCACTGGTATTCTTATATGGAAGAGCTGTCTTTACAGTTTCTGTTACTGAAAACTGATTTTAAATGGTGTCCCTTGTTTGTTATTGTTATGGAAACAGTATTTTGTTACCCAGGTGTTCAATACACATGGGTAACAACAATAGGTGAATTATACTCAACCTGCTCTTTTAATGGTTTTATATTTTAAAAACAGAGATGGTGGCAAATGAAATATGAATTCATCCTCCTTTTTAGTAGTTTTGCACTTTTAATTATGTACCTGATTGGATTGGAGTGAAATAGTTACACTTTTTAAAACAAATTATTTCCAAATGGAATTGAAGGAATGCTAAACAAAGGGTACCTGAAGCTGTCTTTTTGGAGAGGTTTTGCTTGAATGCAAAACATATTCAGTAGTTTTCAGTAGAAAAGCAAGTATGCTTTCCTTTGTTCCTGTTGGTGTAACCACTTCAGTTTGTATTATATCACTGTGTGATCTTTCTTTGTTGCAAACATGCTAAGTCTGAGATTAGGTCTGTGATGAATTCAAATGGAATTTCACAATACTTGTTGGCATTGCTAATACTGTCAGGTATTCCTTGTCTTCATCATTCCTTTCTATTTGATGGAAGGAAAGTTGCTCTGTTTTTTAATAAAATAATTTTACCTGCTGCAACAGTTGAAGTCAATTGTCCTGTGTTCTGCATCCCTTTTATTTAGTGATAAAGAATCTGCCTCCCATCTCCCCCAGGAGAGATGAAATGTTAAGGCACATAGTAGAGATTTAGCTAAAGTCTGTCTCCATGGAAAGGTCAGATGATGCAGACCTGTTTAGACATAGCTGTGGATGAGAAGCGCAGAGCTAAAAACAAAAATGTTGGCGATCACTACTTTGGTGCATGTCCTTCTAACTGCTGCTGTAGCTGATGGTTAAAAGGAATCTCTAAAAGTGTGCATGGGTGTCACTTTTTTCCTTGCTCAAAGTGGGTTTAGGATAGCATAAGGAATTTGAAGAGAGGCTCATTCTGTTCTTATTAGGTGCTTCCTTTAGAATGTCTGGGAGCCTAATTGTGTCTCTTTGATATAAATGTAATTTTGCTACAAAGCAGTGTAGTTGGGTGACCTCTGAAGGGGTCAAACCTGTGTTCCTACAAATCTCTTGCATGGCCTAGGTTCCAAGGTATTTCAATAGGCAAGGTATTTCAATAGGCATAGCTAGTTATGTCATCAGTGTCACAGTGTCACTGATGTCACTACATCCCCAGTGTCACTACATCCCCAGTTCTGAAGGAGAGAGACTTGTTCAAGTATCCTGCAGGGTCCTGTAGAGTGGCAACTCAGTTCCTTTGATCATTTGGTTGAACCCAACAGCCCTCTTATAATCTTCATTGAGCCTACCCTGATCTCATCCAGAGGGAAACAATTGTGTCACATGCTTCTATTGGTCCTGAAGGACTATGCTTATTACTAATATCTGAAAACAGCTGGAAATATTTGGAAAAGAGAACCCATTTCTCCTGGCATATTTGCAAAAATGTCCATCTTCAATCCACTTCTAAAACCACCCAGCCAGGGCTGTGGTCTTTCTCTGAATATTGTCTTAATCAGAGCAGTTTTAGGTAGCAGTGAAATATTTCTGTTTATCATAGTAGTATTCTGTGGAGCTATCTTAATGTCTTTTTCATTTGGACACCACTATAATATGATTTTGGGTGATCATACCTTTAGTTATGCATGTTCTCTGTATCTGCTGCAGTCCCTTGGAAAATCAGTAGACTGTAATGTGCTGTAAATGCTACCTTGATGCTAACGTGATTTTAACATGGTTAAAGGTAATGGGAATAAGGCAAGAGAAAGTAGAAAGTGTTTTTATGGAGTTCTTTATCTTCTTGCCACCAATTGTTTTCAGTGTTGACATGGAAATAGTGATGTCAGTTAAATTATTTTAATTCAAAGAAAGAAACCTGATTTTTTTAAAAAAACAAAACCCTAAATTGATAACTTATGTGGTAGAGCTTACTTTTTAAAATCACTGACTTTTAGGATTCCTTTTGGAGCGTAGAACATCTGGCCCCTATTATAATCATGAAGCTGCAAAGTCGTGCTACTCATAGAATGTGGTTTTTTCAGATTCGGAAGGGAAAAAATGCAGAAAAAATTACTTTGGGAATTTAATAAAGAAATAAAGGACTGAATAAGATCTATCAGGAATGGTGAGTGTCGCAAAGAAAAAAAATGGAGTCTCAAGGGCAGAGAAGTGGGACCCCTTATAGATAAGTCTGAAAAATCTGCATGTTTAGGAAGGATCTCCTTGGGTTCCTAGGAGAATCTTAACTTGTGAATTACAGAAAAAAACTCTTCAGAATTGACTTCATGAGAACTGAGTATGCTTGTTACACTTGGATTATTGAGAACCAATTAAAGGGGGCCAGGAAAACCATCCTCATCTGCTGGGATATTGTCCTGCTCAAGAATGTAAGAGTTTGTAATATCTTCAAGAGGAAGATTTTGTTCAAGGCAGTTTGTCCGGTCATTTATTTATTATTTGATTTTTAGTCGCCAAAGGGTCTTGTGGCAAATTGCAACATTAAAACCAGTAAGGTAAAAACAAAATAAAAACAAAGAACAAATATAAAATATTAATATTAAAATATGTGGCCATCACCATACCAGTATTTTAAAAAAGCCCAAACGTGGTTACCCTTCAAAGGCCTGCCTCAACAATTCAGCTTTGCAGAAACTAAATAAGGCCAGCAGGGCACGGGTGTCATCCAAGAGTCCATTCCACAACTTCCCCTGGTGACAGCTAACAAGCCATCTTTGGGCTAGGCACCTGCACGAGGCCCCTAGTGGGATAACCAAAGGGAGTGTGGGAAGTTGTAATGGGAGAGGGGGTCCCATCGGTATGAGAGTCCCAGACCATTAAGGGCTTTAAAGATTAACACCAACACCTTGATTTCGAACCGGAGACTAATTGGTCACCAGTGCAGCTGCTGCAGAATTGGAGTAATATGAGCTGACCATGATGTCCCAGTCAGCAACCTGGCAGCTGCATTCTGGACCACCTGCATTTCCAAAGCATTTTCAAGGGTAGCCCTATGTAGAGAGAATTGCAATAGTCCAGTCTGGTGGTGGCCGTTGCATAGATTAATGTGTCAAGGTCTGACCCAGACAAATAAAGCCTGGTTGAGGTGAAAAAACGCTGACCGTGCTACCATGAACGCTTGTTTGTCCAATGATAGCGCAGAATCCAACCACTCCCCATGGCTCTTTACAGAGTCTACAGCTGTCAGCTGGACACCAGAGAGTCTCAGGAGTGACCCTTCAGCTAGGATGTCAGTCTTTCCCAGCCACCTGACCTCTGTCTTGGATGGATTCAACTTCTGCCAGCTCCCCCTTAACTATTGGACTACCACATCCAGGCACTGATATAGTGCCAAGAGCCCTGCAGCAGAGCTGAGTGTCATCAGCATATTAATGGCACCCGACTCCAAACCTCCTGACGATCTCAGCAAGAGGGTGTGTATATATGTCAAATAACTTTAGAGAGAGGATCGAACCCTGTGGGACCCTACAGTTCAGGTCTCATCAGGGAGACCTCTCCTCCCCAATGACAACCCTCTGAGAGCTTCCCTGGAGGAACAAGGAGAACCAGCTAAGGGCAGTGCCCTTACTCCCAAGGAGACAAAGTAGTTGATCAGGACCAAATGGTCAACTGTATCAAAGGCTGCTGATAGATCCAGAAGGGTCAACAGAGCTGACAAGCCTTTATCCAGATGTAAATGGAGAACATCAACCATAGCAACAAGTGCTGTCTCAGTCCCAAAGCCAAGCCTGAAGCCTGATTGAAAAGGGCCCAGAACAGATGTCTCATTCAGGAAAACCTGGAGCTGCTCAGCCATTGTTCGCTTGAATTACCTTCCCCAGAAAGGGTAGATTGGACACTGGACAGTAATTGGCCAGCTCCTTTTTATCTAAGAAGGGTTTCTTTAGCAAAGTTATAATAATCACCTCCTTAAGGTAGCTGGGGAAACAGCCCTGTGAGAAAGTTAATAATTTGTCTCAAAGGGCCACTTACCACTTCATGGCATGATTTTATCAGCCACAAGGGACAAGGATCCAAGGAGCAGGTAGTTGGCTTCACAGCTGTCAGGGTCCTGTCAACATCCACAAGGGTGAGCAGGCCCAAATAGTCCAAAAAGGAACCAGACAGTGCAAACGGAGCTCCAATCCCACTACTGTTATCAAATTCAGCTGCCAACTCCAGGCGAAGCTTTGAGACTTTATCCACAAAAAGATTAGCAAATGAATCACAGCTGAGAGCTAAATCAGTATCGGTTTTAGGTCACACCAAAGGGATGGTCGGTTGTCGAACCAATCTGAATAATTGAGCTGGTGGCAACGTAGTAGACACAATGGAGGTGGTGAACTCTCTTTTTGCTGCTTTCATGGCTACCGCCTAGTCCTTCAGTTGGGCTCTATAGTGTGTTCTCACAGCTTCGTCATGTGTTCACCAATTCTACTGTAGCCTTCTGGGCAACCTCTTGAAACCTCTTAGACTTTCATTATACCAAGGAGACACAGGGACACAGAGGGCGTTGGGGAGCAATCCGATCGATGGCTTCCTGAAGACCTCTGTTACAGATCTCAGTCAGCTCATCAATGGAACAGCCAGCAGATCCAATTAAATCCCACAAAGGATTTTGGAAACTATCAGGATCCATTATTCTCCTCAGGTGAGCATAAATATGTTCATTGCCCCTGCAGAGGGGAATGGCCACCCCCAAACCGTCCCTTACAAGGAAGTGGTCTGACCATGGCACTGGTTCACATACAACCGCGCTATTCAGAGGAAGCCCTGCATAAAACATCAAATGTAGTGTGTAGCCTGCTTCATGCATGGTGGTCAGTACAACCTCAGAGAGTCCCAATGTTGCCATAGCAGCCATGAAGTCTGATGCTGCACCAAGTAAGGAGGTCTCTACATACACATTAAAGCACAGTGTTCACTCAGCTACTGTCTTCGATAGCCTCAGAAGAGAGTCCACTGGTGAGCTGGGCAAATAGTACACCAGCAGGACTCCCACCCTCTCCCCGACACCCCAAGCCAGGCCAACACATTCAAGGCCAGAGATGGTTGGCACAGGGGTCCTCTGGAAGAGAAAATAGTCTTGGATGAGAATCACCACTCCGACCCCTCCCATTCCTCAGTTTGATGTTGATGGAGGATTGAGTATCCTGGGAGAGTAAGC